ACCTGAAAGACCTTTACAATGAAAACTACAAAACACTGCTCAAAGAAATCAAAGATGACACAAACAAGTGGAAAAATATCCCATGCTCGTGGATTGGAAGAATCAATATTGTGAAGATGTCCATCTTACCTAAGGCAATCTACAAATTCAATGCAATACCCATCAAATTACCAGCAACATTCTTCTCAGACCTAGAAAAGACAACACAGGAATTCATATGGAAACACAAACATCCAAGAATAGCCAGAAACAATCCTCAGCAAAAAAAACAAAGCAGGTGGTATCACATTACCAGACTTCAAATTTTACTATAAAGCTACAATTATCAAAACAGTTTGGTATTGGTATAGGAACAGGCATATAGATCAATGGAATAGAATTGAGATTCCAGAAGCAAAACCTCAATTTCTCAACCAACTCATCTTCGACAAAGCCCCCACCACCTACCAATGGGGAGAGGAGAACCTATTCAGTAAATGGTGCTGGGAAAACTGGCCGACCACATGCAGAAGATTGAAACAGGACCCCTATCTATCCCCATGCACAAAGGTTAACTCCAAATGGATCAGAGACCTAAATGTAAAACCTCAAACCAGAAGAACCTTAGAAAATGAAGGAAATACCCTCATGGAAATCGGAACTGGCATCCAATTCCTGAACAAAACCCGCAACCCACAGGTCATAAGAGAGAAGATAGACAAGTGGGACCTTATTAAACTGACAAGCTTCTGCAAGGCCAAAGAAACCATCAAGAGAGCAGGGAGACAGCCTACAGACTGGGAAAAAGTATTTGCCAGCACCAGGTCTGAGAAAGCTTAACATCCTGGATCTACAAGGAACTAAAACGTGCTGAAAAGAAAAAAACAAACAATCCCATTATCAAATGGGCAAAAGATATGAACAGATACTTCACAAAAGAGGACATCCGAGCAGCCAACAAACACATGAAGAAATGCTCAACCTCACTAATCATCAGGGAGATGCAAATCAAAACCACACTGAGATACCACCTAACCCCAGTCAGAATGGCAATCATCAACAACTCAAAAAATAACAGCTGCTGGAGAGGGTGTGGTGAAAAGGGAACACTTCTACACTGTTGGTGGGAGTGTAAACTAGTGCAACCTCTGTGGAAAGCAGTGTGGCGATTCCTAAAAGCTCTAAATATCAACCTCCCATATGACCCTGCAATCCCCCTACTGGGAATATATCCTGAAAACTC